TGATGAAGAAGCTTCGCAAGACGACGTACCTCGTCTCGTTGTTTCCACGTTTCCATTCACTGATTTAAACGAGAAATTCTCAAATTTACGTAAGCGAAAGAATTTTACAAATACACACACACACACACTGTTATCGTATAAAAACTAGAAAAACGTAACTCCGACAAAAAAACGATTGTGTGTCCGGACGCGATTTATTGCATTCAATTTGTTAAATCAAGTTGCCGGAGGACACGATTCGAATTTCCGACAGTTCGAGTGCTAATCCAATCCAACTTTATACAGACTGTTAACAAGTTTTGTTAACAAGAAGTGTTAACTGTGATATTTTTCTATTGTATTTTTTTACACCTTCCAAATTTTTATCAAATCCCCCGATACCTGGAGGTGGCTGTTTACAAAAGTAAAAAGTTGCCGTAAACGTTACGCGCAGTTTAAAACGCATATATATCTATTCTAATAAAATTAATAATAACAAACGATAAAGTCTTTCTTACGAAAGTTAATTCTCTTTTCTCAGAAGAGGGGATTAACTTTGTAAGATTTCACAAATAAGAGCAACGAATTACACGTGTGCAAATTACTACGGATACAATATTTGTATAAGAAGAAATGCAGAAGAAATGGAAGAATAGAAGAAATTTCCCATCGTGCAATTCTTCAAGCTAGAGTCATCAGCACTTAATGCGCCGATTAAACAAACTATCTAGTAGGTACGTGGGATGCCGCATGGATTCTCCGGTCTGAAGGCCTCGACAGCTTGCGGGTTAAGTGGTTGTAATACATTCAACCGGAATGTGGTCCAACTTTCCACATACACAATGGTCGGACGGGGGGATGGGAGGGTTGGCTCAGTTCGCCGCTCTTTCGCTTTCCACGGTTCTATATAAACCGCCTAGGTCTGGTGAATGTGTTTGCGTACGCGGGGAGCACCGTGGAGTACTCGCGTGGAAGAAGAACGTTGGAAAGGACGTTGGAGGAGAGTTGATCTTGACGTTAACTATAGGTCTCCCGGTCCAGACGTTCGCGCGAGTTGGGAAAAGGGTAGCGGGCGCGGGAGATGGGAGGGAGAGAGACGACCCGGTAGAAAAGAAGACACCGACAGTAGTATAGCCAGCGCCAAGCCAGACTGGACGGCGCTGAGCTCGTCGCCCTCGTAGTAAACAAAGCTGTAACTCTCCTCTCGCATTGAGGAATCAATGCTTCGTGCCGCGCTCTTGGGGGAACAAACTCCTAGAGAGCAAATCCTCCCTCTCTCCTTCTCTCTTTCTCTCTTATTCTCGCGCATCCATCTTAGTTTTCGTGCGGCTTGCATGTTGATGCATCGGGAAGCGAGTCGGAAAGATGGTCACTCGAACTTGCTTTCCGTGTAGCTCTTTATATGTCTCTCGCCCGAAACTTAACAGTACGTCGGTATTACATTATCGAGGTGACAAAGGATCGATATAAGGCGGAAAAATTCATTTTTCAATCGGTTTTTTTAGGCTATTGGAATAATATTTTTATCACTGAAATGTACACAGGGAGAAAATAAGTGTCAAATCAAAACTTATATACTTAAATTAACGCGTTCATTGTTTCGTATATACGCAACAATTTGTAATCTTTTTAGAAGAATTTAATAATTTTAAATTTCAACAATATTATAGTCTTATTTTAATATTATAATTGTCAGCTCAAGAATATATAATTATTTAATTCTACTTTCAGAAAATTATAATCTTTGATTTAAAAATATTATTTTCTATCTAACATTGTTTCTTTTCTATTCAAGAAAATTAAATCTTAAATCATAAGAATATATTTTTCTCGATTGAACTATATAAAATGGCATCGTTCAAGTAAACAATTATTCAAGCAATTATATTTTTCTTTAATTAACGCAATATAATCTCATTTCAAGATTTCCATGTTAAAACTAAATATATCTTCCAAACAAGAATATCCTCTTTTTCTGTGTATTCTTAGAATTATAGGCACGCTAAAATATTTTTCTCGTTTCTTTGTGATTATCGAATACGACAAAAACCGAAAAAAGGAAAAAGAGGAAATTTATGTTAATGCTATTACAAGTGGCAATTTAGGAAAATAGTAAAATAATCTCTTCGATTATTCAGATTCATTCACATGCCAGTGCGAAAGATTAAAAGAATCGAGTTAAGAATGCTTATTATTCCATAAGAAGTATGAATACTTTTCTCACTTATATTCTTCGATATTTGGATCTTCTCCAAGAATTTTCGAAAGAACGTTGTCGTTATAAAGTTGAAGAAGCTCTTCTAAACGTACAGCAAGTATTACATCGGATACGTTTAACATTTTCTCCATTCTCGATAAATTTTTCTAACGCCAATAAAGTAAATGTGTTTTCTCAAACTAAAATTTCGCACAAATTATTTTATGACTGATGATTATCTTAACGTGTACATAATTTGCATGTTAAAAGAACCATTGTATTCTTTAAAAAATGGCCACTTTTATGAAATAGATCTAATCATGATAAGAAGAATAATTAAAAACTTGAGCGTCTTTTTCGTGAAAGGAAAAAACAGAGAAGGAGAGAAACTGCATATAATATTATTAAAAACTGTAATAAACGTAAAGATTTTTCCCGCACTTAACACATAATTGAAATTACGAACTTAATTTTCATAAAAAGAAGGTCATTAATCGCAGCTTAAAGCATCAGAAAGACAAATGACGAAAATCAACCGCGTTTCTCGGTACAATTCGTACAATTCCATCACGACGCCGAGAAATCCCCGTCGAGATTCGTATAGATCTCTGCGAAGATAACCGCCGATATCCGCCACGGCAAAAGCGACCGTGGTAAATGGCGGACGAAAATTCGCTTACGCTCGAAGGACACGAGAAACGATTACGAAATGATCTCTTTGGTTCTGCGAAGCGAATAGTTACGTTCTCGCGAAATTTACGGTCATAGAAAAATCTCATTATTCTTCTATGGCATTAATTCCGATTAAAAGTCGCTCCGACTACTTTAAGTATGTATTTACGACTTTAGTCTAGAATCTAAATCATATAGGATGTTTCTTAATAAGTGCGAAAAATTTTAGAAGATGATTCTTTGTCAAAAATTAAGGGGAGATTTTCTGCAACCCTCCTTGTGAAGTTACACGCCTCCAAAATTGAGGATAAAAATTAAATTTTTATTTTTTTCTCAAATTTGGAACAAGTTAAAGAAATGAAATTAGATGAATATTTTCTACTAGTAAAAAGGTTATTTATTAATATTTTTTTAGCCTCCCGTATTGTTAAGGGGATGAAACTAACAACCTATTCAATATTTTATTAGAACTTTTTAATGGGTCGGAATGTTATCATCTAAAAATATGCATTAAAAAGTTTGATTTATTTAGAAACTTTTTTATTTCTTTTTTTTTCATAAAATCATTAGTTTTCAAGAAAAAAAATAAAATACGTTATCGTGCACAGCACAAATAGCACAGATTGTTAAATAGCACAAATAGCATAGGTGCTAAATAGCATAGGTTTCGAATTACGAGAAGTTAAATTTGAAAATAAAAATAAAATTAGAGTAAATGTTGGGAAAATTGGAACAAAAACAAAATTATAATAAAAACTAAAGAGGAGGGGTGTAAGTCCACAGGGATATTATAGGAGTATATGTTTATATGGAAAACCCTTCTTAATTTTCGACAAAGAATTATCTAAATTTTTCGCATTTATTAAGAAATATCCTGTATATAATCGTATTTTTGATAATAAAAATTAGCACAACACATTGTAATAATAACATAATTGTGTATATTACTAATTATATAATTGTAATCGTATATTACAGATAAAATACGATGACATTGTGCGCTTTCTCGCGCATCGTTTCTGTTTTACTTTAGTCGCGCAAGCTTCTCGCCAACCCCGCGGGTTAACATCGCGCAGAGAGTTATCACGATGGCGCAATATAGCCTGTCTGTACAACGCGGTGCATTTGCACATTGTGAAAAGGGGACGGCTGTATTGAAGTAAGTGCAACGGTTCCTCGTGCCCGAGCGAAAGAACTCGGCTGCCCTTCTTATTTCTCCAGGGACTTTTCGCGAGCGAGCGAGCGAACGAGAGAGATCAGAATTCCTCTTTATTCCTCCTCTTCTCTCTCTCGATTCCCTTTGTTACCGCTCGTCGGCCTTCACTTTCTTCGACGTGAATGGGAAAATCGGCTAAATATCTCCGGAGCACTTCCGCATCCCGTTGTCGCGATACTTTCTACTTATCTCTTGCCTCTCGTCTCTTATTTTGCTCCCTCTTTCTCGGGGAGACGGCAACATATTTCAATGGTAATAACAATCGGCGTCATTCAACGGTGTTATACAGAAAGCAACTGTCCAATAAGCGGTCATTTCGACGACAGGACTCGAGGGGGAACAAGTTTTTATTTGCTCGAAAATAAAATTTTGCTCACGAAACATTGAACGCACATCACAATATGCTTGTGTATGCTTATGTATGTACAAATATATATATATATATATTGTTAGTACGTATATCATGGAGGATATTCTGTAGAGGATACCCTCGAAATCCCGGAACGATTTATCCCGCTTGACGAATATCTATAACAATAGTAGGTTTGTAGATCACTCGGTGCTTGAAAGTATCATTGATCATCCGTCCCGTTCGTGAATCTCATTTCTCTTTGCTCCGCTCTCCTCTTTCTTCGTATCGTCACTGCACATCTTTATTCTTCATTTTCTACGATATCTAGTTTGCAACTAAGAAAATATGCCGTTCGGTCGAAATTGCCAAGGAAATCTTTATTCGAGAATATGCGTATAAAATATAAAATATACAAACACGAGGCTCTTGTATCGATCGGAAAGTAAGAAATCAAAGTAAATTTCACGAATGATGCATAATTTTTAATACGAAAAATCTCGTTATGTTGCAAAGTGTAGCAATTTCCTATTATACGCGACCCTGTGAACTATTTACGATATAATATGATATCCGTCTCGTTTCAGGTGGCCTGGATGCTTTTCGACAAGAGCGCTATCCTGACGGTACAGAATCACGTTATTACCAGGAACCCCAGAATATCCGTGTCGCACGATAAGCACAGGACCTGGTTCCTACATATCAACGACGTGCACGAGGAGGACAAGGGAAAGTACATGTGCCAGATTAACACCGCCAACGCCAAAACGCAATATGGCTATCTACACGTTGTAGGTGAGAACGCGTTAACTTATGGAATATATTGACATATCATTAAACTTTATTTAATTTATTTCTGCAATATTATGTTATCGAAATTCTTGGAATTAAACACGTTAATCGATTTTCTTTTAAAACTTTAATATTTTGCATAAGGAATCAGTTTTCTTTCTTCGGATTAAGAATAGTTTTATTAAAGAAGAAATTTTTCCTGGTTTTATATTTATAAATATTAATATAATATTAAGTTAATCGTAAAGGCAGATTTATTACGCGAAAAATAGACTTTATCACATTCCTTCTTGTAAAATATTTTTTTATTTTATATCTAAGGAAAACCTTAACAAAAATATATTAATAATGTGTAATTTTTAATAACGACTGATTCTTTGATTAATTTAAAGCTTTAAAGTACCAATAAGTTATAATTGCATTTGATGAAAAAGTAGAGGGAAAAACAAGGAGAGATTTTGTTAGAAATGGTTATTTCCGTAAACGAATGTGTGAAAACTCATATTTCTTCCGATCACTATCCTGTCATGTTTTATCGTTTCGACAAGAAAAAGAACTATCTCATATGTTCTACGTTAATTCTGTTGCACCATTAGCAGAGAACATTCCCCGATCGATTGTTATTTACGATCTTATTGTATCGTACTGTGAACCCATTAGATCCTCCGAATAAATCTCATTTCGCGTAATGGAGTCAGCTTACCGTCGCGAAGTTTTGCGCGAAACAGAGCGTAAGCATTTTATCGCAGCCATCTAAACAGATTTATGTTTGGAGAGCGAGACACAACACAGCGTTCCGCTAATCTTACGTAGGATCTTACGTAGGAGCGGCAACGGAACCATAATAATTTAATCGGAAGAGAGTATATCAATAAGAGCCTGAGGCGGCCGCCAGGCATCTCTCTGCCAGCCGGGGAGAACATATTAATATCTCGAGTTTTGACATCTCGGCTGCAGCCGGGCCGTTGAAGCGAGAGCGACGATACCTCGGGACGGATGCGTCGGTGGAGTAATCAGAGGGCTAGATTAATTGTTTCCGCGGGACTCTTGCCCTCCGTTGCACAAACACACGCAAGATTTCCCGGCACGGCGCTCCCGCGACACTCTCTCGTGATAATGTCGATAGTCCCCGACACAATGGCGGATCTGCCATGACTACATCGCGCATGTAACAAGCCTCGCCGATGCACTTTAGGCATTATCTGTCTCCGCGCGGGATAATCGCAGTACACAGTAAAAAAGGAAATGTTAATTTTAACATCCTTCACATGTCCCAGAAGGTCCACTCTAAATTTTAAGTTAAAATAACTCATTCGTATGTTACTTATTGACGAGCTAAAAATGTTAAACAATTGTTACACAATATTTTACATTTACTTTTGTTATTGTGACTTTAAGTGTAATGTAAAAATAACACGCAAATTAATTTAAAATTACATGAAAACATAGTTACAATAACTCGTAAGAATTATTGTAGGACATTAACATATAATAGGAATTATTTTAACTTCAATTCTTTGTAATAGAAACATTTTATTTCGGTAAATTTGATTATTTTATATGTCAAAGTTCAAGATTATTTCAAGATTTACTTTAACTTTTTTTAGAATGTCAAACTGACTTTGAGACATGTCGATTGTTTAAAATGATTATGTTAAAAATACTCAAAATAATATTCTATTTTTAAGAAACATGTACAAAGTGTTGAATTATGAAGTTGACATAAATGTAACGCATGAAAATGTTATAAAAATAATAACATACAAGTTATCTGTCAATTTTACATTAAAATACTAATCAAAACACAAGAAAATTTTAACATATGAACGCATAATTTTTTACTGTGTATATTCGAAGGAATAATATACCGATGAATTTTTTTATCGAACGAAAAAGGGATGGCTCGTAAAAATTAAGATTTAAAATATCCTCGCATGTATGTGCGTGTGGGTAAATTTTTTTCAAACTTAATCTTTATATATATGTATAAATGTCTGATTTATTCTAAATGCAATGAATAAATAAAATGTTTGCGTATCGATTTAAAGGAGAATTTGTGGAGAGAACATATCCTTCGTGGGAAGAAAAGTTAAAATTTAAAATATCCCTTATACATACGCGATTGCTAGTTTCTTTTCCAATTTAATCTTTATATTTATAAATCTGATTTATTAGAAATTCAATGAATAAATGAAGATTTAAAGGAGATGTTTTGAAAAGAGAGATTGCATCTCTCGTTTGATTTCGTCTCGCTAAAATATCGCAAGAATATAGATATGTAATATCGTTGGAAAATCGATATTCTTAGCCACGATGCAAACATTCGGCGATGATATCGCTAACTTCGTGACCAGGTGAACGTATCGGATATCATATATCCCTTGTTCCCGTTTGTCTATTTAGTTAGGGAATCTCTTTTTCGGTCTCCGCCGTGCTTGCGGTCCACCATCGCATCTCCTAAATAAAGCAGAAGCCCGAGACCATCTGACTTTTATTCGATTTAAAAGCGAGTTGGCCGGGGCTTAAAACCGGTAAAGAAGCCGCGAAACTGAGAAACAGACAATATAATGTACCACTGCGCCTTTTGATGGCGCTGAAAATTCCTCTTGCATCCAATCCACATTATATCCGCAAGACGAGCCAAATTGTTTTACAGACTGTTTTCTCGAAACTACTGTAGCTAGCAACGAGAGAAATATATCTTTCATATCTTAAGAGCCATTTAAGAGACAAACAACGTATTGTCCTATTTTCAGAGCAATTTCTTTTATTTCTTTAAAAAATTTTAATTTCTTTATAAAATTATATATTTCTTTTATTCTATTAATATTTCTCTTAAAAAATAATCATCTGAAATGTTTTCCTACATTTCCGGATATTACTCAGTTAAAATATATTTCGTACGAAGACGATTAAAGAAATGGATTCATATAAGAAAAACACTTGTGTGTTTTGACACTCAAACGTGTGTATGTGACCCTTGTGCGCGTGTGTAAATTTCATACTTAAATATTATGCTACGTGATTCCGTTGAATCGAATTTCTATATTATCAAGCGCATAATTTATATCGGTTATATCAATCAAGGAGCATATCATATTATGTATTGTAGGGTGAGTTTGACGTTAGATGCTCTAAGGGTAATTAGCAATCTAGTTTACAACGACTTCATTCACGACGAAACTCGATAATTATCCCGGTACAGTTCCCTCTTTTGGATGTTCTAATATGCTGTGGAACAAAGCAACGTTTAGGATTATTACAGCACCGACGCATCTCTCTCCCTTTCTCTTATTCTCTCCCCCATTTGTTAGAATTGCATCTTCCTCTTCCTCGACCGAAAAAAAATTGCTTTGCAATTCTACAGATTCTGAGATCTATAAATATTTAAAATTTAAATAATTAAATATTTAAAATTACGTGCGTGCTACTACTGTCATTAATTTTATTCCAGGGACATTATTAAAAACATGTATTCGTCACTTTTCGAGTAGGTTGGATATTTTTCTTTCGTCTCGGAAAAACCTGAAAGAGATTCGGGGGGGGCTCGATACGACGATAAAGTAGCAATCCCGTTTAGAATCGTCAATATTTGGATATTTAGACGCGCGACATACACGCGTAATGTATATTTTTGTACACGTCGGAGGAAAAATATGGGGTAGTTATCGGGGTAACGTGCGTGCGCGCGCGCGCGCGCGTGTTTACCCTCGGGTTACCCTCCACCGGTTGGCATCGTCATCGAGCGATCTCTCCTCCGAACGTTTCTCGAACGTTGCGCTGCCGGAGACTTTAGGACAAGTTAACGCACAACAACGATACGGTAACACGCGCGCGACGAAGGCGGCGTTTGCGCTTGAATAATGCATCAACAGACCGTTACGCGACTGCAGTATAACGCTGTACAGGGACCGGCGAGGGGGTGAGATCGACCCCCTCTCCCCGCGCACTCGCGCGCGCGCGCGTGCATTCAATCTGCCCTTGTTCAACAATTCGGCAACACCCCGCATTAGCATTAATGCGAGATATCGACGGACACCTGCGGTAATTCCTAGGATTGGCCGCGTTCCCTCGTATCCAGTGATCATAGGGCTGTGGGACAAAAAGACCGAAAGGGAAAGGGATCGAATTTTCTTCTCGTGGAATTTGATTATCAGAAGGGAGAGAGTAATTGATGAACCGTCCCTCACAAATAATCTCCGAAGAATTAATAATTGTGTCGCCGATAATGGTATCATAATGAGTGAAAGAGAAGAAGATTTTATCGTTTAAAAATCACCGTAATATCCCATTTTATCCATCCGTCCATTATAATAATGCAGAATATCGATACGAAATAATTTTATGTTTGTAATAATCGTTACACAGAAATACGTGCAAAGAATAATGGAAATATACGATAATAATAATAAAATCACAATAATAATAAAATACAAGAATAAAAGATAATGCATGCATATCTACATATATAATATAATTGTAAATATGTTGCAAATCATAATATTCTCTATTTGAGTTAATTTCCATTATTGGTCATTCAATTAGCCCTTTCCGCTTTTATTTCTAATAAAAATCTATAAACAAGATTTTCTCTTCGGGATATATATTCAGAAATATAATTCTTTATCGTAATTTGTAATTTTCTCTCTTTAAACTCATTCTATTTCGTTTACAATTCGTCTTAAATATGCAAGGATTAATTAAAATGACTATTGAATTATTACTTAAGAAATCCGATCCAATACCTAAAGATAGAAATAAATAGATTTTTTTTCAAACATTCAACACGTAGAGATTGCGAGAGTGAATAATTTCAGGGGAAATTAGAAACGCGGTCAGATTTATTCGTGAATATGTAAACTATCTATGCTCTCGTAGTTTCGCTATTTCAATACACATCATTTTAATTATTAATTTATTGCAGTTTCCTCGTGTCAATCAGGTTTAATATTTTTTTTTCATATTCCGTTTTATATAGTCGACCATATTTTAAGTTTCAACTTTAAAGGGACAAGCTTTTTTCCTGCCTCTCTTCTCTATAGGATTTAATAATTTCAATCGTTCTAATTCTCTTGAAATATCGAAAAATTTCTTTTTTTCTGTACACAACGGAATTTTTATTTTATTCATTCGAAAGGAACAGAGTTGACTTTAGTACACTACGATTAACTTGACATCGCGTCACGTTAAATGAATTATTATATATATTTGGTAATCGATATTATCACTCTTCTGCATGTCGATCGTGTCGATTAATTAATTAGTATACGAAGAAGAAGGGTAGTTTGGCTGATGTGTCACATTCGCGTATAACACAGTACGATATCATTTAAGCACGTCAGCCAATTCAGCGACTTGCATTTCCAGGTTGATCAACGTCGACATTGCAGACGACGTATGTCCGTATACTAATATTATTCGTTACCACGACGACGATATAATTGAATTATACGCCTCTCTCGCGTGCGCGCGCATGCACGGTTTAATTCAAGAGCAGCGATGACGTGGTCAATATATGCAGATATGAGGTATCGCTGTTATAGCGCAATTAAATAGTTATCGATGACGCGTTGATCGCTATAAATTATACGCAGTCGTGATTTATATTTACAATTTATTCTTTCACGTGCGTTTAAAGAAAATGAGATTTTAATCACTCATTTACATTATACGTATAGGAAGGAGATTTCGGGAATTTTATTTAACATATACAGGGTATTTTTTAACAAGTGTAAAAAATTTTAAAAGATGATTCTTTGTCGAAAATTAAGGGGGATTTTTCATATAAACATTAAAAAATTCTAATAAAAAACTGAATACGGGTTGCTAGTTTCATTCCCTTATAACAATACGAGAGGCTGAAAAAAATATTAATAAACATATACTCTTACATCCCTCCTTGGACTTACACTCCTTCAAAAATGGGAGTAAAAAATTAGGTTTTTATTTAGAACTAGTTAAAGAAGTAAAATTAGGTGGATATTTTCTACTATTATAGTAAAAAGGTTATTTATTAATATTTTTTCAGCGTATTGTTATAAGAGGATGAAACTAGCAATCCCTATTCAATTTTTTATTAGAATTTTTTAATGTTTATATGAAAAACTCCCCTTAATTTTCGACAAAGAATCATCTCGTAAAATTTTTCGCACTTATTAAGAAACGCCCTGTATATTGTGTATGTATAAAATTTCTCTCTCTCTCTCTCTCTCTCTCTCTGTCTCTCTCTTTCTCTCTTTCCCTGCAATATGCAATATGCGTATCGTGCCAATAACGAACACGTGTGCGAGAAACTGTAAAAGTGCCGTTTCTGCTTAATACTTGCCGCTTAATTTTTAGCGAGTAATGTCACTTTAAACTCTTTGACGTAACTGCGCGCCATTCATAAATTATGAATAAACGTTACGTGTACCGCGTATACAGTGTGCGCTGACTCGATATCGTATTATCGTGCCGCTTTACTTAATTGACTTTATTCGCCAATGAAAATCATACCAAAGATCAAACGCAGTAATACAAAATGAAAAATTATCTCTCGATAATGACGTTTCCTTTCTCATTCTCAACGCAAAGAAAGCGGAATCGTTTTCTGTGAGAGAACAATAATTTAATAGAATAATCTTTTGTATGAAATATTTATCAAAACGTGGAACTGCATCTTTTGTATAATATCTAGAGACCTCGTCGCAATCATCTTGCGGTGCAAATTGATTCGAATCTGATTGAACGGTCTCTCCCTCGCAGGAAAATCGCGCATCGGCTTGATTTTTGATCGGTTATTACGTTAACGTAGGATTCCGTTTCATCTCGATGTTAAGCCCGTTTAGTAATTGCCGAAGGAGAAGACGGGAAGGACGGAAGAATCCGTCAAGGGCATGCAAAATAGCGGAGGGCTTGAAAGCCCGCGACGGAGAAATATGGTCCGCTCCGTTCCTTCCATTTCTTGGGATAAAACGTGACAAGACTTTTCCCGGTCCCCACCAATCCTTCAGAACATTTCTCTTACAGCGGAGAAGGCGCTTCTTATCATTAGTGATTACGAGTTTTTCACGGGCGTTTCCTTCCAGCTCGCTTCTTATCTGTGCGCCATTTCTGCCTGCTATTCCCGTCGTATATATACGTGGTGGTTGCTTCTTTTAAATTTATCAATGAAAATCGTTTTCAATTGTGACGGAATTGCGTTTCCCTTACGCATACGCGTCAATATTTGTCTATATTTGTCTATATTAATGACTTGTATATATTCATGTTGTGATATACGTTGCATTAATTGTTAGAGTTACATTAATTCTAAATAATTGGAGATACGAATAATACATGCATATTTGGATATAATATTCAAGATTGACAGTATGCATGGAAAATGATAATTTTTAACGACGTGTAAATCGAGTTAATTGTAAAAATAAATAAATAAATAAATTATCCTTGACTGAAATTCAATGTTTTTATCGTTACAGTGCCACCGAACATCGACGATTCGCAAAGCTCGTCGGACGCGATCGTTCGCGAGGGCGCCAATGTGACTCTCACCTGCAAAGCGACCGGAAGTCCGACGCCCAATATTCGTTGGAAGCGAGACGACGGTTCCAAGATATCGATCAACAAAACCTTATCCGGTAATATTAATTTCGCACAAACGAAACCTTCGACAAGCGATATATTATAATTGTCAAACGTAATGGAGTAATTAAAAATATATGTCAATGTGCGAAATAATTAACCGCGATCGATCGATTTGCATTTATATAACGGACGGCACGATCGTGGTTTTCAGTGGCGGAGTGGGAAGGCGAAACGCTGGAAATGGCGAGGATTTCGAGATTGGATATGGGCGCATATTTATGCATCGCCAGCAACGGCATCCCACCCACGGTCAGCAAGCAGATCAAAGTGTCGGTCGATTGTAAGTACATTTTGTGCATTTTTTGTGTTAACGAAAATAATCTAAGATGTTTACGTTATATGACACGATAAAATAAATCTCCTATAATGTAATAAATACTAAACTATAATATTCACATACATGTGTGTCTTAAATGTCTGCAATGAAAAAATATTTTCTCGTGTCATATCGCTGCGTTTTTTTTGCACAATCTGAAAAAAATTGGAATTGTATAATTATTAAAAATATACGAGCTTGATATTATACTAGGAGAGAATTCACTGATATAATATTATTACTATAATATTTAATATTTATGACAAAATATTATGAAAAAATTCATTCAGAAATTCTTCATTGGATTCGCAAACATTTTCATTTAATTAATCAAAACTTATGACATTCTCTCATTGATTTAATTAAAAATTAAAATCTCCAAAGACTTTATTTTATACATTGATACGTTAGCACTGCCTTTGTTTAAAAGTTACAGAAAAATTTACAAAAAAAAAAGGCCACGTAATTAGATTTTGTCAATCAGATTTCTCGCGAGAGTAAAGGTATCCACCGACAAATAACGTATAGGCTGCTAACAGCTGGCAAGGTAGCCTCTAAGTGGCAACTGTGGCGTCGGGCTAGAGTACAATATTCCGGAAAGGGGTTCAACAACATACAATTTAATAACATAGAAAGGAAACCGGCGACAAAGCGGCCTTTACCGAGTCTTTCGTCGTTCTCCCTCTCGCTCTTGCGCTTCTAGGCTGTTTCCCGCTGGGCTAAAATAAACGTGCGAGGGAACGAGAAAAAGAGATAGAGAGAGAAAAAGAAAGAGAGAGACGGCAACGGCAGAAAGGTAGCGAATGGGGCGTTGAAAGTCACGATCATGTGTGAGTGCGCGTGTCAGGGGGACATAGAGAGAGAGAGAGAGAGAGAGAAAGAGAAAAGAAAGAGACGGCGTCGGGGTTCCCCGGTGAGACATAAAAGTAAGCTCGAGCGAACCGCAACACACCATTACGCCGTTTCCACCCCTGTACTTGCCTATTGTTACGTTACTGCTCCTCCTAAATACCGGGCACGTGCCTCTTCCCCATGACATGCTCGCTTGCTACGACGCTCGTTTTGCCTCTGTTTCCGTATCCGGGTAAGAGCGTTCGCTGGTGCATATCGAAGTGGCTCGTCTTTTTTGCACATCGTTATTTCGCGTTCACGGATTTTACTCGGAGAAGCGCGAATCTTTTACCGATTAATTACAGATGCAAAGGTTTATGGTGTTTTGATTTTTTTAACATTATTTTCTTTCTTTGCGCCTTTTTAAATATCTTGTTCATTGTGATCCATCATCTATTTACAGATTGCCTGAGTAAGATTAATTGAAGGGTTTGCGTTTTGGGAAAAATTTATATTTTCAATTTAAAAAGAGAGGAGCGCGAAAAGATTTAAAGAAAAATCTACTTAAAATTGTTGTCGATTATTTGAATTTAAGATTTGATGTTCAAGTCTGAAGAAAATGTCTCTGTAATTTTTAGTATCACTAATTATATTGACCTCCTTTTTTAGCACTTAAAATATATAGCGACAAACGGAACGTGTTATAGTATTCAATGAGGAAATATGACGATTATGGTCTCTCGTGCCCTATATTGCGCTATCTTTGAAAGCTCCGCGATATTTAATTATTAATTATCCGTAAAGTAAAATTGCATCCGCCTTTTAAGTCGCCTACAAAGAGATGGTGAAGAACGATGAAGGCGGAAGTTTGTCGGAGCTTATGCGAAACATAATCTTCGTATTCTTAAGACGGTTCCCTCGAGTTTTCACGTAAGATTCAGACCGAAGCGGGAGATGCCGCGAAAATTTAAGGAAGAAAACAATAAAGATCGATCTCTCATTTATATCCATGTAATTATTTAATTAATTCGGCAGTGTCAGAAAAAAAACCGTCGTAATTATAAATGACATTCGAAAGCTAGTGACAAAGAAAGGATTACAAATGTATTTGCCGCTATTAATGCGGACACATCACAGATTATCTCTTTAGATTTCCTTTAATCCTGTTTGTGGTAGCAAAGGCTTTTGTCAATGAATATTGCACCTCTTTTGGGCTCTTTTGAAATTAAATTATGATTGAGTAATAATGCAATATTATTATATGCGTTATTATTGTCGCGATGAGAAATTGGCTAGACTGTTATTGCGCTTTGCAAATGTTAGCTCTTAAATGCATCGTGTATTTTCACGAGAAATAAGACACAATATAATGCTGGAAACAAATTTAATATAAATGTACGATACTGAAAGAGTGATGCAAAATTAGAATGCAATTAGAATATATCAGAGAAATACTAATAATATATAACAGTTTCATATAACATTATTAATAACGAATACTCGTTTCTAAACAATCTATATCACTTTATATAATTATAATAATCATTCGTAATAATCATTCGTTTAATTATATGTATTAAGCCTATGGTATATAATACAATGGTATTATACAGTAGAATGATTAATCTGTTATTATGCAAATGCATTTAGACATTTGTTTCAACGACCGGGACTGAAGATTAATGGCTAGTACCCACAAAATCTCAAAATAAATATTGTATATTTAGTAATATGAGTTATATATTTATTGCGAATTATATAAATTTAATTTGAATAAATATAAAAATATATATGTATTTACCAAGCTTGAGCAATATATATATATGTATTTGCTGAACTTGAGCAATATACATTTTTATTAATTTCTTCCAATTCGTATTCATTCACATAAAAAAAAAAGAGAAACACTTTTAATATTAGCTCTTTCATTGACCCGTGGCTATTCCATATTATAACTTGTTTGCGTATCACGACAGGGTATTTCATTGGTCAATAACATCGGCACAAATTTCAGTAGTAACGAGGAATCGATCGTATGCGTCGAGTGAATATTTTGTCAGGTGAATTTTTACGTTCCATTCGCAATATGAAGTTTCTCTAAATAGCCGTAGGACTTGTTTCGCTATCGAACACATCATGTACAGAATATGACTAAGAGCTACGAATTTCAATATGATTATTTTTTGATATAAGAATAACAATATTTTACATGCATCAAATTTATATACAAGCATATATAAAATATTCATGTGCATTTTTTACTTTTTATATTTCTTATTCTTATATTTGTCACACGTTTATTTGTTATAAAATATTCATATGCACTTTTTATTTTTTATATTTCTTCTATTCTTATATTTATCATCTCCTATTTATTTGTTATATATACCTATAAGAGATTCTGTGTAAAAAAAAATTTAGCTTTTTTTAAATTCAGCTCAAACTTTATAAAAAATTTGATTTTACAAAAAACATCTGTAGCATATATATAACACAATTTACATAATAATATATATGTATATATTTGTTAAAAATCAACGATAAACAACGATGGCATTTTAGCGATGCTGATTAAACGACACACTTTTAGATGGAGCAGAGAGTTTTACAGCGAAAGATGAGCGTAACGCTCTTTGCGCGTTTTTATACGTTCAAACGGAGATTAATTAAATGGTCGGGCAGATTACAAGCATCTACCGGCTACCCTCTTGGTCTGATGACATTACAAGTTTACGGCCTGAAAAAGCGTTATACGTATACGTTTTTCGCCCCGCCCGCGCTACCCGTTTTATCCCTCGTGCAACTTCGCGTAACGTGACGTATAACGCGACGTATATTGTAGTACGATAATTATGGAGACTATCGCGTTGTGTATCGCACAAATATATCGTCGCCACACGCCCTGCAAACGTCTCGCGAAATATATTTTCATTCTCGAATGCGTGGCAACCAATGCGATCGCACTGCCGCATTTATGACGACGCATTTGTTTGCCGGCGAATGTAATTTCAGTAAACACAATTGAACCTCCCTCGTTGCAGTTATTAATACAGTTAACGGAAAAGCAAACACTGTATCGTTGGTACAATTATTAATATTCTGCAAGTGTTGATATTCGGGAGAGGGCATAGAGGGTAGGACGGGGGGGAGAAGAGAGAGGAGGGACGATGTATACGTTTATATTTAGATATTTTATCCGCGCGCATTATACTTGTAAAGTTTACGGTATCATAACACATACATTCTCCGTAAATACCGGTCGATTTTTTTTTTGTTTCATTTTTTATGTTGCAGTTAATACAATAATTCTCGTTCAAGAATTGCTGTGGTTCTCGCCATTTTTTTTTTCGCTTGCCGGAGAAATATTTACATATCATGCTTTTTCTCGGTGACAACTTTTAATCAGTTCTTTATGATAATCATGCGGAGCATAATTTTATGTACGCGTTCTTATTTACGAGAATGCGTGTCCCGTCAAAGTGTATCATTTCCGACAAAATAACGTTCCGCTAAAGAATATAATTTTCGACTTTCATTAGTTAGCGCGAATTTAGAATGATAAAGTCGCCATTTCCGACTCGGACAGACAGATTTGTTGATGAAGGGGAGAAAGACGGAATTACGTGTAGCGCGTTCTGCATAAATTTCCATTAAGAAACGCGAGTGTGTAAACTAGAATTTTTGAATAAAGTTCCCGAAAATACTCAACCTCTCATTTTCATAAAGTTTCACGGCAACATCTTAAATAATCTCAATCGGGCGCCCAACCGAAGGGATTTTTAATATAGATGAAATTAAATCGGGATAATGAATAAAAAAGAATCCAATTTTGATTTCATATTTATATTCATTTACTACGGGAATTACTTTTTTAAATTTGCTAATTAAAGACGCAGCTGCGTGTAAATATTCAATTTCATCGTACGCATCGTAAGTTTTTTAATATCGCCGAACGTACAGGGACAAATTCAACATTTGTAAACGATGAGAGCAAGTTAAATATTCGTATAAACTATATGATCTATCTTGTGCGCTTTTTTCATAATCGGTCTAGAATTTTTCTCGTTGCTGATTTTAATAGCGGAAAATTCGCTGCTATTCGGTTCGCGAGACTGAATACCGGCGCGATAAAT